TCACATCAATGTGAATGGGGGGAGCACAGAGTGGAGACCTAAAGCCCATCTGTAGACAACTGGACATCCCCTTACAGAAGGGGCATAAAGGTGAGATAAACCAATCAGGGTGCAGTATAGCACTGATGAAACATACAACTTCCTCTAGTTCTTTAATGCTTCCTCCCCCCACTATCATGACCTCAATTCTACCTTACAAATCCGGCTAGACCAGAGCATGTACACTAGTACAGATAAGAGCTGGAAACACAGGGAATCCAGGACAGATAAACTCCTCAGGACCAATAATTAGCGTAGTGATACCAGGAGGGGAAGGGGAAGGTGTGGGGGGAAAAAGGATGAACTGATCACAATGAAATACATATAACCCCCTCCCAGGGGGAACAACAGAAAGTGGGTGAAGGGAGACAGTGGTCAGTGTAAGACATGAAAAAAAATTTTCAAATTATCAAGGGTTCATGAGGGAGGGAGGGTGAAGAAGGGGGGGAAATGAGCTGATACCAAGGGCTCAAGTAGAAAGAAAATGTTTTGAAAAGGATGATGGCAACATATGTACAAATGTGCTTGACACAATGGATGGATTATGGATTGTGATTAGAGCTGTACCTGATAAAATTATTTAAATAAAAAAGAATTTTCATAACATAAAATATATTATAAATGTGTTCCTATAGCCTCTAAAATACTTATACATTTTATTAGTACTATTGGTAGGTACTAATAATAGTAGCCAGCTATTGTGGTTAGCTTCCAAGATAGTCCCTAAAGATTCTTGTCTCCCAGTTTTCACAGCTCATGTAATTCTTCCCAAGGAGCCCCGGTGGCACTGTTGGGTAAGCATGAGGCTGTTGTTACTCACAAGGTCATAGGCTTAAAGCTACCAGCCACTCCTTGGGAGAAAGATGAGGCTCTCTGCTCCAGTAAAAATTTACAGCCTCAGCAACACTATAGACTCAATGGCAGTAGGTGGGGAGTCGCTTTTTCCACAGCGAATCAATGACCAATAGAATACTCCAAGACTAGCTTAGTTCCTAAGAGATGAAAACCTTCTCTGGTTTCTTGTATCTCTCGCTATGGTGGAAGTCAGCTGCCAGGCCACAATAATACTTAAGCAGCTCTGTGGAGAGGGCCAGATGGGGTGGAACAATGGCCTCCTGCCACCGGCCAGCACCAACTTACCAGCTATATGAGAGAACAGCCTTAGAAGTGGATCCTTCAGCCCCAGTCAAGTCTTCAGCCTTAGCCAACATCTGACTGCAACCTCGTGAGAGGCCTCAAGCCAGGGCTCATCCAGTCAAACCACTCCTGAATGCTTGACCCAGAGAAACTGTGATATGATTGAGTTATTAATGTTTAAGTCACTACGTTTTGGGGTGGTTTGCTATGCAGCAATCGATAACAGATATGGTAGTTAACATTTATTGTTCACTTATGTGTTCTAGAACTATGCTAAGCAATTTTTGAACATTATTTCACCTAATCCTATGATGTAGACACCATTACAATAGTCAAATGAAAGATAAGTGGCCCCGGGGATAGTAAGTCATTTTGTCAAGTTGTCACAATAGTAAATGGCACAACTAGAATTTGAACGAAAGTCGCTGACGCCAGTGCCCAGTTCTTGTTCACACTTTTATACCGGCCAAGGTAAAATCCTTGGATGGTTAAGCGCCAGGGGGTACTGCACAAAGAGGAGAGAGACCATGCGTAAAACCAACCAGGAGAAGCCTCAAGGCAGATTCAACCAATATTGGCACCTGATGCCCAGAGCCCCAGAAGTCCCAAGCTGGTCTTGCCTCTTGGTTACAGTGTCTCACCACAGACACTCAGAACTCACCCAAATCTGCAGCTTCACTCGCTTCTCGTGACGGTAGACGGTTTTCACCTTGAAGTCGATGCCCACCGTGCTGACAAAGGCTGGAGTGAAGGTGTCATCAGCATAGCGGAAGAGGAAGGAGGTCTTGCCAACACTACTGTTGCCAATGATGAGCAGTTTGAACATGTAGTCAAAATTCTGGTCAGAGGCATCTTTGACTCCAGCTTTTCCATCGGTCACTGTAGCCATCTGTAGGAGAGACCTGTGGTCATTCAGGGATGCAACTGAGTCATCAACCAGGCAATGGTGACCCCACCATGCACACACTCTTTCCTCACCCCTGCATTATGGAGGAAACACACTCACACAGAATTGCCCGTTGCTGCACTGGCCCTCGGAAAGAAGATGAGACTTCCTACTCCCAGACAGAGTTACAGTCTTGGAAACTCACAGGGGCAATTCTATCCTGCCTTATAGGTTTTGCTAAGAGTCAGAATCAACTCGATGGCAGTGAGTTTGGAACATTTTGCACCTGTCCCAATGCTGTCTCAGAGCCTGGGGTGGAACCCCAGCTCCACCCATTCATTCCTTCAGCAAATATTTACTGCATACATTTCTCTGGGTCAAGCCTTGTGCTAAGTAAAGGGAACAAAAGAGTGAGTCAGACATGCTATCTGACTCATAGCAACCCTAAGTGACAGAGTAGAGCTGCCCTGTAGTGTCCTAGGCTGTAATCTTTATTGAAGAAGCCCTTGTGGCACATGGCTAAGTGCTTAGCTGCTAATTGAGATGTCAGTGGTTCAAACCCACAGCCATTCCATGGGAGGAAAATGTGACAGGCAGCCATTGTAGAAATTTACAGCCTTGCAAACCCTATAAGACAATTCTACTCTCTCCTACAAGGTCTCTCTTAGTCATAATTTGACTTGACAGCCATAGCATATGATACACTTTCTTCTCTATTTTCTATGCATCTTGTAAGGAACCTTGGTGGTGCCAATTAACACTGAAAGATTGGCAATTAGAACTCACCAGCCGCTTTGCGGAAGGAATACCTGGCAGGTAATCTGTTTTCCTAAAGATCACAGCCAGGAGGGGAAGGAGAAGGTTGGGGAGAACCAATCACAAGGATCTACCTATAACCCACTCCCTGGAGGATGAGACATTGGGCAGTGTAAGACATGAAAAAATAATAATAATTTATAAATTATCAAGGGTTCAGGAGGGAGGCAAGGAGGGTAGGGGAAGGGGAAAAAATGAGGACCATTTAATACCAAGACTCAAGTAGAAAGAAAATGCTTTGAGAATGAAGATGCAACAAGTGTACTATTGTGCTTGTATGGATTGTGATAAGAGTTGTATGAGCCCCCAATAAAATGATTTAAGAAATTATAGCCTACAAAACTCTATAGAATAATTCTATGAGTTGGAATTGATTCAACAGCACACAACAATAGGCATATTTTAATTGCCAAGACATACTGTCATTGGTTTTGCATCCTGTCCTTTTCCACTTAACATCGTATCCTAGGTATCTTACGAATACATTAAAAACTCTTCACAGATATCTTTCTAGTTGACTACATTCCAGTCTATTAAATGGACATGTATAGCATATGACTAATTCTTTCATGTTATACATTTAAACTGCTCTTCTATTATTAGTTATTATAAATTAAACTACAGTAAACATTTTTTAATGTTTTATTGTAAATTGGCGGAGTTTACATATCAGGGTCATCATTTTTGCATTCAACAACTTAAACAACCTATCAAACTTCCCAATAGCTTGCCCGAATTCTACCCTCACCCTCTGCTGCACTTTGGTCCCCCCTCTCCCCCTTCTAGTATATTATCTTCCCCTTCATTCATGTTGATGTCTGTCTACCCTCTAGCTTAGCTGCTTCCCCTTACCTCCACTCCCCTCCCATCTGTTTCTTTTCGTATGAAAACCTATTCTTGATTTTTAAAAATATATTATCAGTGACTCCATACAGTATTTGTACTTTTGTGACTGACTAATTTTGCTCATCGTACTGCCCTTCCAAACCCATCCCTGTCATGAGGTGCTTCACAGTTACATCATTATTCTTTAATGATGTACTGTATTTCACTGTGTGTATGTGCCAAAGTGTATTTATCCATTCTCTATCCGATGGGCATCTAGGTGGTTTCCATCTTCTTACTATTGTGAATAGTATTGCGATAAACATGGGTGTGCAAATATCTGCTCATACTACGTTGTTGTTGTTTAGGGGATATATAACATAGAATGATTGCTGGGTCATAGGGTATTCCTATGCCTAATTGTTTAAGGAAGCACCGCACAGTTTTCCACAGTGGTTGTATTGGTTTACAGTCCCACCAGCAGTGGGTAAGGGTTTCAGTCTCCACATTCCTTCTAGCATTTGTTATTTTCCACTTTTTATTTTTTAACTTTGCTATCAGTGCTGGGGTAAGGTGATATCTCATCGTTGTTTTGATTTACATTTCTCCAATGGCTAGCGATCACAAGCATTTCTTCCTGTGTTTGTTTTCTACTCAAAGGTCTTCTTTGGTAAACTGTCTGTTCATGTCCTCTGCCCATTGTTCAGTTGGGTCATTTGTCTTTTTCTGATTGAAGTGCTGAAATTTCCTTTAGGTTTTAGAGATTAGTTCCTGTTTGGTATGTCATTGATAAAAAGTTTTCCCCAGTCAGTAGGTTTTCTTTTTCACCTTTTGGTTATAATTGTTGATGCCTATAAGTGTTTTGTTTTGAGAAGGTACTGGTCATCTGTGCTGTCTTTCACTGTGTTTGATCATGTATTCATACCATGTCCTACTGTCCTGTTGTTTTCATTGGTAATCTTTCTAGTTCTGGAGTTTGTATTTAGGTATTTCATCTATCTTGATCTCATTTATGTTTATGGAATGAAGTGTGGGTTCTGCTGCTTTCTTCTCCAAGTGTAAATCCAACTTTGCCAGCACCAGTTGTTGAAGGGACTGTGACTATTTCTTTATGTAACTCTTTGCTCACTTTTCTCGTTATTTTCTTAGAATTCCTAAGAGTGGAAATTGCTGGATCAGATTAACTTTACAGATCTGATCCTCATCTCAATTTTATGATTTTTATCCTCTACATAAACCTGGGAAATAAAGTCAGAGGATGGGGATTGTAATTCACATTTGGTTGTGAAGGAAACTGAGGACCAGAGAATAGGGGACCTGCCCAAATGGTACAACGAACAGCCGAGACTTGATGTAGTACCCTGTAGTGTAATGGGAAAACTTTTAAATCCCTGCCCCATTTCTCAGCTGAATACTTGGACAAAGTACATCATCTCTGTAAGTCACAGCATTTTTACCTTAAAATAGAGAAATTGCTCCTTCATTCATGGAGTTCTTATACAGACAGAAGGATTAGTGGCATATGTAAATCATCCAAACCAATTTCTTGGCACACTCTGTTGTTGAGTGCCATCGAATTAATTCCAGCTCATAGTGACCCTACATGATAGAGTATAACTGCCTCATAGGTTTTCCTAGACTGTAATCATTACAGGAGCAAACTACTAAGTCTTTTCTCCCTTGGAGCTGTTGTCGGGTTTGAACTGCCAACCTGTCTTCTGGTTTGCAGCCAAGTGCTTAATCATTGTACCAAGGCACATGGTAAAGGTGCAATAAATATCATTTCACTGACTCCCCTTTTTCATTACTGCAGCCAAACTGCAGTTCAACTAACTGCTCTCTCCTCCAGGCGGGGCTCCATTAGCTGAATTTGGTTTGCAGTTAATTGTCTGTCTCTCCTTGTGAATTTAACTGTTTACCCATCTTCATTCCCCATCTACATGGGCCTATAGTAAATCCTTAGGCCAGGGAATGATACTTCTTTCAACAGATATCTAATGAGCATTTAACCCATTTCCCTTCAGTATGGACTATACTTCAACAGGAAGAAAACAGTAATCCTCATAACTGGGCCAATAATCAACATTGTAGTAAATGAAGATGAGCTTGAAGTGGTCAAGGATTTCATTTCACTGGGCTTCACAATCGACATCCTGTGTACAACAGAATGCAGCATCGCTCCATCTGGCAGGGTCACACAGCAGTCAAGAGAGCAAAGAATGGGCCAATCTGCTGAAAAGACCTCTTTAAAGAGTAAAATCATCACTTTACTAAGGTACTCTTGACCCAAGCCATGGTATTTTCAATCACCTCACATGCATGCAAAAGCTGGAGAGTGAATAAGGAAGAGCAGAGAAGAATTGAGGCCTTTGAATTATGGTATTGGTAAAGAAGGTTAGATATACCCTAGAAAAATGTATCTTGGAAGAAGTACAGCTGGGATGCTCCTGAAAATGGAGGGGGATAAGACGTTGGACATGCTACCAGGAGGACATACTTCAGTCCCTGAAGTAGGACATCATGGTGTGTAAAGTAGAGGGTCAGTGAGATAGTTTATTGTGCCAGCCTGGCTGATAAACACAAGTGGGATTAACTGAAGGGCAGAGAGATAAATGGCTTGGTGAGCCTTGCCTTTCTTGTCTCTCGCTCCGTGATCATTGGACCAGTGTGCGGCTGCCTTGCTTGTTCTGTGCCTCAATTTAAAGGCTACACTACCTGTGGGATGCCTAGCCTGTGGACTGTGTCGCTGTAAGTTGAGGTCCCTTTAAGACATCTCTGGAGCTGGGGACTGGCAGTTGGTGACCTGCCTTGTGATTGGCTGCTGTGCTGACATAGCCTAGCTCTCTCTACAAAAAGAGGAAGATCTGGCAGCAGACTAGACTTGAAGGACTGCTAGTCTCTCAACTTCCTCTCACGGACGTGTGTTGCACTGAGCCATTTGTAGTGCTTTATAATTTAACTGTTTATTTCTTGTATTATATATTTATCTGCATATGATTTAACAGTTCATTTATTGTTATATATCTAATTATCTTTATAAATAAATACATTAAATTATCAGCAATTTGGTTTTATCTCTCTAGAGAACCCTGTCTAACACAGTCAGTGAAAAGAAGACCCATAACGAGATGGATTGACAGAGTGGCTGCAACAAAGGACTCAGCCTAAGTGATTGTGAGCAAGGGGCCAGACCAAGCAATGCTTCAGAGCTTGGGATCAGAGCTGACTGGATGGCACCTACCCTGTTTCCCTGAAAATAAGACAGTGTCTTATATTAATTTTGGCTCCCAAAGATGCGCTAGGTATTATTTTCAGGGGATGTCTTATTTTTCCATGAAGAAGAATATGTTACACATTTATTG